TATTTAGATTAGAACTAGCCGTTTGGCTGTGCGTTGCAACGGGTGTTAGTCATTAACAATACGTAATTAATCAATTAAGTCTGGATGAACAACGAATAGCTAATTGTAAACTGAGCTAGGATGAACATTGAATATTAACTCTCCTCCAGCATGTTTAAAATTGGGAAATAATAAGAAATAGGCCAATATGAAAAGCTTAAGAAAGTATATAGGTCAACTTTTAGTTATAGAAATTAATAGGTCATAACTTGTCAAGTTATGATTTACAACCAGATAAGTTATGGACAAACTTGTCAAGTTATGGTTCATAGTCAGACAAGTTATGGACAAAAACCAGGAATAACTTGTCAAGTTATGGTTCATAACCATACAAGTTATGGATGAAAATAATAATTTGACCTATTTATTAACTGATGTAAACTATTAACCTATTAATTTTAATTCATCTCAAGTCTTGATCTATTTTCCTCTTTCTCTCTTTAAAATTTATTAAATTTCTGCATTTTTTTTTATAAGACGATGGCAATAGGAAGGGAAAATTGAAGCCTAGGAATAGAAAAAGAGAGTTAATGGACAAATAAATAATTTTTCAGGGCAAAAAGACTCTGGAAAAGGCAGAGGCATTGGAATAGGCAAAGAGAAGGACAATGAAATAGCTAAAAAGTTTTAGTAAAAAAAATAGGCAAAGTGTGAATTGAGACGACAACAACATATTCACAACAATTTTTGGATAAATTACATGAAACTCAACGTGTCAAAATTGACTATCATCATCATCATCATGGCCACACAAAAAAACTACTGAAAGTAAAATGTGCTAAGCAGAGATATAAACATATATATTTCGCTGAAAAAGGAATGAAGAAGAAGGTCAATACGTCGGGGCCACTTATTTACTACGCAAAAGACAAAGTAAACACATATTTCTAATTGCTAATGTTTTCTAAGAATAAGAAATAATTTTTCTCAGCTTTTTTCATCGGCGATATCTATTAATAATATAATAAAATTGTGTGCCAACAAAAATAACGAAGCATAAATAACATGTATTAACACTGTCATAGTAAACTCGCACATTTAGTATCAGCAACAGTCATTAAAAATTTATGAATAAATGCTGATAATTATACATCAAACGCTATGAATATCACCGAAAGTGCTAAATATCAACCAAGCAAGTGTGAGGATCAATAGATGCAGCAATAAGAGTATAAATCATAGGGAGCCTGAAAAAATACAAATAAATAAGTAAGTAAATGAATAGACCAAAAGAGAAAAAAAAAAGAAAAGGGGAAAAAAAGGAAAACTGATAAAACATGAATGTCATAATATTTTTATTTGGTTGTTCCATATGGTGACGATAATTATAATAGGGCCCGTTCGGTTCGTTAATTTGAATTTTTAATTCGAGTTGAGATGTGATGTTGTGTGAGAGCTTTTTACTGTAGTAAAAAAGTTAGATGTGACTGTTTCTGAGAGTTTTTTACTGTAGCAAAACTTGAATTCTAAACTCGAATCAATGAAAAGAACGGGGCTATAATAAATGTTGAGAGGGAGAGATGCTAAAAGGATACTATCTGGATTTTTCTTTTGCTAGTTCAATCGCTAAAGAGCTGATGGTTTATCTTGCTTCATGGTTGTTGGCGGTTGTTTTAATTCTTATTTATAACGTGTTATACAGTGTACACTTCCGTAATGAACAATTATGGCTGTAAACATGAGAGAGTATCCAACTTCATTATGCTATAGTGTTGTATATACATTTTGAAAAGATATAACAAACAGATATCCGTATGGGGGCGTTTGGTATGCAGTAATTTTAAGGATGAGAATGAAAATATGCAATATTACCATGTTTGGTACAATAATTATAATTTTTAGATTTTCAGAAAAGTGATCACCATGGGATTTACTTTTCCTCATTTTAAGGTAATTTGAATACCACCCAACATAGTGTTATTCAAATTCTCAGGAATCTCTGAGAATCTTATTATTATTATTATTATTATTATTATTATTATTATTATTATTATTATTATTATTATTATTATTATTATTATTATTATTAT